AAATGTTTCCCCCCCCCCCCCCCCCAAAAAAAAATAAAAATAAAATAAAGTAAAATAAATACTATATCACATTCACAGTGTCCTCTTCAACCCCTACCCATATAACACAATATAATATGCGCATGGTTACTACAAATGGTTCCGTACAATTTTCGCGCCACCACAAGACGGAAATTTTATATGAAATTTCTATTAAATGAGTTGTTTGGAAAATTAACCATGGGGATGCACTGATAGCCATTGCTGCAAAGGTTTAAGCCTTTGTTTGTTGGCCGCAGTCTCGTATTTCTCACCGCATTATGGCACGGAAAATGAACAACGAGAAGAAAACATAGTTTTATGCAACAGGGCACACGTTACATTACAACTGATGACTTTTGACAATGGCTGACATTTCTAACATATTCCGAAATCTGCATATAATACAGTAAAATATTAAAAACAATAAAAATAAAGTGGTTTATGCAATGTCTGTATTCCAGGACAGACTTTGTTTAACCACCAGCCTCACGCTTCGTTGATTAAAAAAACAACAACAACACGAGTGCCCCTTCTCCTTCCCGAGTGACGTCATGAGTGGACACCGGCTTGGTATGAATGAGGATGTTTAAAAAAAAAATACAGAGACACTGTCCCTTCCTCACAGTCCCCAAAAGTCTAGCCATATTTGTAACTTCCACAGACAGGATCAACTGGCTACATCGCCATTGTACACAAACTTTGAACAAGGAGGAGATAACCCGTAGAACGCACTCGGGGGCGGTAATGCTGGAACACGTGTACAGCTACAGTTAGCTTCGGTTGCTTTAAGACACAGTTGCCGAGTTGGAGTAACTGTACCGTAAAGCAGCGCCCGAGCTTCATGAGTGTTTCTGAAAGGCACCAAGTTATTGAGAAGACGAGACCCATGCAGTGAGCATGCTAGAAGTAAGTGACGTCATGTTCATGATTCAAGATGCGGAGGACGCGTCCTACGACAACACCTCACTGTTCCTTGAAGACGAAGACGTTATGATTGCGCACTACGTCATGGTGGTCGTATGTACAATATACGTGCCTATAATTTTGGTCTCTAACTTTATTGTCTTCTGGGGAATCTTTCTGTACCCAGGCTTCCAAAATCCAAACAACTATTTACTCTTAAGCCTGTCCATAGCGGACTTTTTGACCGGATGTTTTTGTTTACCCATGTACATACTCAGTTACCTCCCCTTCACGTATAAGTTCGTCTTTACCAACAAGTACGTGTGCCTGACCTGGTTTGCATCGATTGAGATCGGTCCGGGCGGCTCGCTCGCCAACCTGTTTTTCATCACCATCGACCGCTACATCGCCGTGCTGTGGCCGCTGCGGTACCCGCAGATCGTGACAAAGCCCAGAACCATCAAAGCGGTTATTTGTATGTGGTGCTTCATCTCCCTTCTGGCCTTCTCGCCGATGCTGTTCGATTGGAACAAGTACGACCCGACACTCCTGCCGTTGACGGCGCGCTGCAACTTTCACAAGACGCTGCCAGTGTGGTACGTCGTCATTGCCACATTCGGCACCGTCTTGACCACACTCCTGATATGCTCCGTACTTAACGCTCAAATCATCTACGTCTCCCGACGTCAGGTGAACTCCTTCAGAAAAAGAATCTCCAGCTTCAGCCGAGAGCAGATTCGCAATTTTCAGAACCGAATGAACTCTGTGAAGATCACATCGTACCTGATGCTCCTGTTTATAGTGCTGCTGCTGCCGTACATGGTGCTCGCGCCATTCAAGTACTACAGGAAGTTCTCACAGAAGAACATCGAGATCATCAGAGTCACCACCCTGCTGCTGACCTTCACAAACTCCATTGTCAACGCACCGATCTACGCCATGTTTCGGCGGGAATACAAAGAGGTCTTCAAAGTCTTGCTGTCCATACCGCCGAACCGGTGGAAGAAGGGGCTTCGTAAGCTTTTTAGAGATATGAACGCAAGTGTTTATTCAATGGAAAAGTCGCTGGTTGAGATTGAACAATGCCCTTCCTCATATCATGAGCTGCAGTGTAGTCCGTCATCCAAATACACGACCGTACTTTCAGTGAATCCATCAACTGTATTCGAGTCAGAACTCTAATTTCTTTATTTAAAAAAAAAAAAAATGCACCGAAAGATTAATCTGAGATAATCCGACGCAAGGGAGCTAATGAATCCGACGCAAGGGAGCTAATGAATCCGACGCAAGGGAGCTAATGGTGGCTGACAGCCGCAGATTGCGAGTTTTTGAATTAAAAAACAACTGAAAGTACTTTGTACGCTTCTAATTGATATGATTGTAATCGCATGCATTGCGTAAGTAATTCAGATTTCTACTTCCCGACATTAACCACTCTATAAAGTAGGTCGTCATAAAGCCTCGAAGTTCATAACATAGTAAATAATTATAGCATTTTAAGCGGGCACTACTGTATGGATGCTGTTTTGTTGCCTTGGATCGGAGCGGTGGGATTTCATGGAGACCGAATTAAATTAAATAAAAAATTCACATGTGTAAAAATATATATTTTTTAATGTTAATGTTAAGTGAGACTCTGCAAAAAGACGGAGCGGTCAGTGATCAAGACTAAAACATTGGCTTGGGTCAGTTCATTTTACGAAACAAAATACGTGTCTATCAAATTCACTTCTACATTAAAAGATAGTTTAAAAAAAAAGTAATTTTCATTTCTTGTATTATTCTAAATTTTATTTCCGTTATAAATTAATTATTAATTTCCCAACATTTGTTTGTTCCTGTTTCTTACGTTGATATCAGACTTAAACGTTTTATTTTAATTTTCGATTAAAAAACAAAATTGATTTATGAATATTAAGTTAAACATTATGTTTACGAAATAAGGCAAGGGGGCGGTTATTGCAATTGCCCCCCGTTCCCTTTAAACTATAAATCATCCTTATATTTTGAATTAACTTTTCTGCCGGTGCCCTTCACCATTTCCTTTTAGTCAAGTTGATTAGTAAGATGGTGTTTTACTATTTGGGCACTTCCAAATCCAATTTTTTTTTTGTTGCGAAACTTTGTATTCCCCGAAAAAGGTGTGGGGGAGCGTGTGGTGGGGGGACGTGTGGTGGGGGAGCGTGGGATGGCGGAGCGTGTGGCGGGGGGAGCGTGTGGTGGGGGGAGCGGGTGGTGGGTGGGCGTGTGACGTGTGTTGGGGGGGGGGAGCGTGTTGTGGGGGGGGGACTAAAAACATTCTGGTCAATGTTCCATGACTGACTCCGATATATTTCAATTTTCCATGACTGACTCCGATATATTTTAATGTTCCATGAGTGACTCCAATATATTTCAATGTTCCATGACTGACTCCGATATATTTCAATGTTCCATGAGTGGCTCCAATATATTTCAATTTTTCATGACTGACTCCGATATATTTCAATGTTCCATGTCTGACTCCAATATATTTCAATGTTCCACGACTGACTCCGATATATTTCAATATTCCTTGAGTGACTCCGATATATTTCAATGTTCCATGACTGACTCTGATATATTTCAATGTTACACGAGTGACTCCGATATATTTCAATGTTTCATGAGTGACTCCGATATATTTCAATGTTCCATGAGTGGCTCCAATATATTTCAATTTTTCATGACTGACTCCGATATATTTCAATGTTCCATGACTGACTCCAATATATTTCAATGTTCCACGACTGACTCCGATATATTTCAATATTCCTTGAGTGACTCCGATATATTTCAATGTTGCATGACTGACTCTGATATATTTCAATGTTACACGAGTGACTCCGATATATTTCAATGTTCCATGAGTGACTCTGATATATTTCAATGTTCCATGACTGACTCCGATATATTTCAATGTTCCATGAGTGACTCCGATATATTTCAATGTTCTATTACTGACTCCGATATATTTCAATGTTCCATGACTGACTCCGATATATTTCAATGTTCCATGAGTGATTCCGATATATTTCAATGTTCCACGACTGACTGCGATATATTTCAATGTTCCATGACTGACTCCGATATATTTCAATGTTCTACGACTGACTCCGATATATTTCAATGTTCCATGAGTGATTCCGATATATTTCAATGTTCCACGACTGACTGCGATATATTTCAATATTCCATGACTGACTCCGATATATTTCAATGTTCTACGACTGACTCCGATATATTTCAATGTTCCATGACTGACTCTAATATATTTCAATGTTCCATGACTGACTCCAATATATTTCAATGTTCCACGACTGACTGCGATATATTTCAATATTCCATGACTGACTCCGATATATTTCAATGTTCTACGACTGACTCAGATATATTTCAATGTTCCATGACTGACTCTAATATATTTCAATGTTCCATGACTGACTCCAATATATTTCAATGTTCCACGACTGACTGCGATATATATATCAACGATTTGCTTTTATTTTTTTTTATTTTTTAGAGTAAGTGTTTACCCTTTTAGCAATTTTTCAGTGCCACACTTTGGTCCCCACCCCTCCCCGTGTCTTTAGAAGTGACCAAGTATTTGGTCTCTAGGGAACCTTATTTGGTAAACCATATTTTACTTGTTACAATTTTTGTGATGCACAAAATAAAGACTTTTAGGAGTTCGTAACAAATCTATGGTAGCACTCACTACAGGGTAAAATAAACATCGTTTTAGCACGATTTATTAAAACAAGCCGGGGGGGGGGGGGGCTGAATTCGGTGGTGTTACTTTAATGGTTTACGTTTGTTTAGGGGGGGGGGGGC